CAAACCCCCCCTTTTGAGCCCCCCAAGCCCCCTGCCCAGCCCGTACCTGCTGGATGTAGCGGTCAGTGGTTTTCCACATGTAGTAGAACTGCACAATGCTGGCCAGCGACTTCCAGGGCAGCTGCGAGCACACCCAGCCCTGAGCTCAGAGAGATCCCCGAGCCCCCCAGGACCCCCCAAACACCCCCAGGAAGGGGCTCCCCCCACTCACGAAGTCCTGCCGGATGTCGTTGAAGTCCTTGCCGTACTTCTCCAGGGCCTCCTCGAAGAGCATGGCCTCGGAGGCCGACCACTCCTCCATCTCATCGCGGCACAGCACCGGCCCCCCCTGCGGCACCAGCGTGGCCATGGCCCGCGCCAGGTCGTAGCCGTTCCTCTGCAGCGTGTCCATGGCGTGGAACTGGGGACAATGACACATACTGGGGGCACTGGGATGTACTGGGAGGGCTCTAACAGGGGATTTGGGGTGGGTTTGGGGGGGCTTTGGGGCTCTGCAGCGTGTCCATGGCGTGGAACTGGGGACAGTGGGGTGTACTGGGATCACTGGGAGAGCTCTAAGGGGCAGTCTGGGGGGGTTTGAGGGAGGTTTGGGGGGGGCTTCGGGGGGTTTCAGTCCCCCTCTGCGGCACCAGCGTGGCCATGGCCCGCGCCAGGTCGTAGCCGTTCCTCTGCAGCGTGTCCATGGCGTGGAACTGGGGACAATGACACATACTGGGGGCACTGGGATGTACTGGGAGGGCTCTAACAGGGGATTTGAGGTGGGTTTGGGGGGGTTTTGGGGGGTTTCAGTCCCCCCCTGCGGCACCAGCGTGGCCATGGCCCGCGCCAGGTCGTAGCCGTTCCTCTGCAGCGTGTCCATGGCGTGGAACTGGGGACAGTGGGGTGTACTGGGATCACTGGGATGTACTGGGAGGGCTCTAAGGGGCAGTTTGGGGCAGGTTTCAGGGGCTTTTGGGGGGTTTCAGTCCCCCCCTGCGGCACCAGCGTGGCCATGGCCCGCGCCAGGTCGTAGCCGTTCCTCTGCAGCGTGTCCATGGCGTGGAACTGGGGACAGTGGCACATACTGGGGAAACTGGGAGACACTGGGAGCTACTGGGAGGGCTCTAAGGGGCAGTTTGGGGCAGGTTTGGGGGGTTTAAGGAAGATTTGGGGTATCCCAAAAGAGCGTTGGGGTCATTTAAGGGAAGTATAAGGAGTCCTGGGAAAGTTCTGAGGAGATTTTGGGGTGTCCCAAAGAGAAACGAAAAGTTCTAAAGAAGTTTTTGAGGTGTTCCAGTTGAAACAGAAAGGCTGTGAAAAAGTTTTGGGGTGTCTCAGCAGAAAATAAGGAATTTTATGAAGTTTTAGGGGGTCTGAATTAGGAAATGTGAGATTTAAAAATTATTTTGGGTGTCCCAATGAGACATAAGGAGTTCTAAGGAAGTTTTGGAGTCTCCGAATGAGAAATGAGGGGATCTGAAATGGTTTTGGGGTATTCCAGCAGTAAATGGATGGCTTCTAAGGAAGTTTTGGGGGCTCCCAGGTGGAACTGAGAGCTCTAAAAGAGGTTTTGGGGTCTTCCAGTGGGAACTGAGAGCTCTAAGGGAGGTTTTAGAGAATGCCAGTGGGAAATGGGGGGGTTCTAAGGAAGTTTTGGGGTCTCCCAATGGGAATTGAAGGCTCTAGTGAAAATTTGGGGTCTCCCAGTGGGAATTGAGGGGTTCTAAGGGAGGTTTTGGAGTCTCCCAATGGGAACTGAGGGCTCTAAGGAAGGTTTTGGGGTCTCCCAGTGGGAACTGAGGGGTTCTAAGGGAGGTTTTGGGGGCTCCCAGTTGGAACTGAGCGCTCTAAAAGAGGTTTTGGGGTCTTCCAGTGGGAATTGAAGGGTTCTAAGGGAGGTTTTGGGGTCTCCCAATGGGAACTGAGGGCTCTAAAGAAGGTTTTGGGGTCTCCCAGTGGGAACTGAGGGGTTCTAAGGGAGGTTTTGGAGTCTCCCAATGGGAACTGAGGGCTCTAAGGAAGGTTTTGGGGTCTCCCAGTGGGAACTGAGGGCTCCACGGGATTTTGGGGTGCTGGGCCCCCCCCTTTACCAGGGTGATGTCCCGCGAGGCCGCGGCCGCGCTCATGTGCAGGCTGGGCTGGCGGATGGAGCTGCTGCAGTCCAGCGCCCGGGCAAACGTCCCCACAGCCCTGAGGGGGGACACAGGGGGGGTCAGAGGGGTCCCCCCAATCCCCCTGACCCCCCCCCAGCTCCCCAAAGACAGGACGCCCCCAGTTTGATGGGGAGTGGGTTGGGGTTCAGTCCTTTACCTATGACCCCCCCCCCAAAATTGGCAAAGCCCCCCCCAAAAATCAGCCCGAGGGTGGGGGAGAGACACAGAGCAGCTCCAAGTCCCCCTCAAATTGGGGGTGCCTCTTTGGGAGGGGTCACGGACCCCCCCTCAGAACCCCCAAATTGCCACAATAATGTCGAACAGCTCTGCCCCAATTTTGGGGGCACCCCATTGTGATGAGTGGGTCACAGACCCCCCAAACACCCTCAGAATTCCAAACCCCCAAAGTATAAACAGCACCAATGAGAGATCTGACCCTCATCCCCTCCAAACCTTCAAAAAACCTCAAAAAATCCCTTAAAAACCTGCAAAATTCCTGAACCCCCAAAGCAGGAACAGCACCAATGAGAGATCTGCTCCCCACCCCTTCCAAACCTCAAAAAAACCCCAAAAAATCCCTTAAAAACCTGCAAAATTCCTGAACCCCCAAAGCAGGAACAGCATCAATGAGAGATCTGCCTCCTATCTCCTCCAAACCCCCAAAGAACCCAAAAAAATCTCTTAAAAAGCCCCAAAATTCCTGAACCCCAAAACCAGGAGAAGCACTAATGGGGGATCTGCCCCCCACTCCCTCCAAACCCCCCCAAAACCCCTCAAAATCTCCCAAAATTCCTCAACCCCCACAGCAAGAGCAACACCAATACAAGACCTACTCCCCGTCCTCTCCAAACACCCCAAAAGCCCCTTAAAAAAACCCCCAAAATTCCTCAAGCCCCACAGCAAGAGCAGCACCAACACTCAGCTCTGCCCCAATTTTGGGGGCACCCCATTGTGATGAGTGAGTCACAGACCCCCCAAACACCCTCAAAATTCCAACCCCCCAAAGTATAAACAGCACCAATGAGAGATCTGCTCCCCACCCCCTCCAAAAAACCCCAAAAAATCCCTTAAAAACCTGCAAAATTCCTGAACCCCCAAAGCAGGAACAGCACCAATGAGAGATCTGCCTCCTATCTCCTCCAAACCCCCAAAGAACCCAAAAAATCTCTTAAAAAGCCCCAAAATTCCTGAACCCCAAAACCAGGAGAAGCACTAATGGGGGATCTGCCCCCCACTCCCTCCAAACACCCCCAAAACCCCTCAAAATCTTCCAAAATTCCTCAACCCCCACAGCAAGAGCAACACCAATACAAGACCTACTCCCTAACCTCTCCAAACACCCCAAAAGCCCCTTAAAAAAACCCCCAAAATTCCTCAAGCCCCACAGCAAGAGCAGCACCAACACTACCCCACCCCCCACCCCTCTCCAAAGCCCCCCAAAACCCCCGCAGCTGAAATCTCCCCAAATCCCCCCCAAGAAGCCCCCCACTCACGGGCATTGCTGTCGGCCAGGCTGTTGAGGCTGCTGGAGATGTCGCGCCGCCGGAACAGACAAACCACCTTGGCCTCCACGTTGCCATTGGCCGTCTGGGGAGGGGGCACAGGGGGTCAGGGGGGGGTCTCCCAGGATTGGGGACCCCCCCCAGGGCTTGGGGATCCCCCTCAGGACCAGGGGGGTCTCACCTTGTTGAGCTCCTCGATGCGCCGCACCAGGTAGGGGTTGCTGGAGGAGTTCTCAAAGTAGACGTAGTCTGGGGGGGAAAAAAAAAAGGGGGGTAAAAATTGGGGAGGGGGTCATGAGGGGAAACCCCCTCCCCAAAAATCCCTTTCCTTGAACGTGTCAGGATTCCTCTTCTTTCTTCCCAAAAACACAAAAAATCTGGGGGGGGTTTCACAACCAGATGTTCTCCTCATGGAGTGGGGGGGGGTTTATCCCAAAGGACCCCCCCCCCTTTTCCGCCCTCAACCCCCCCATTACAGGGGTCCCCCCCAGCACAGACTCTCCCATCACAGATAGGGGGGGGGCAGGACCCCCACCCCAAAAAAATTTGGGGTTCACCCGGGGTTCCCCTCTTACCTAAGGCCCCCCTTTTTCCTTTACAGTTTGAGGTGGGGGCGTCTCCCACCTCCACGCCTCAGAATTTGGGGTGTCCCCCCCTAGACCCCTCAAGGGACCCTCCCCATTTCTGGGACCTCCTTTTCCTCACAGACCCCCAAGTCCCCTCACGGACACCCCAAATCCCCTCAGGGACTCCCTTAACCCCCTCACGGGACCCTTTTCTTTTCGGGACCCCCCCCCCCCCCAAAAACCCCCCCTCG